ACACTTCTTGACGGGTTGATCACTTTGAAAGTGTTAAAGTGCCATGGACTTAGAGATAAGCCATTGAATGCACGTCAACTTGAATGATATAAGAGGTAGACTTGAGAAAGTTGGTGACAAGGAATCTTGTCATTTATGTCTTTCAAACTTAACTCCTGATGGGTTGATCACTTTTTAAAAGTGTCAAAGTGCGATAGATTCATAGATGAACTATCTAGAACACACGCCAACTCGAATGATATGGGAATCGACTCGAGAGAGTGATTTTTAACAAAGAGATTCGTTTATCCATATATTTTGAAGACACCATTTTGTCACTATCCCTGGTCCGGATACCACATAGAGGTATGGGTTGAAAGCTATAATATAGTGCAATGGTGAAGTCCGAGAGGAATACCTTCAAAATAGATGGTGGAACTAAGTTTTGAAACACTGCTTGTTGTAGCATTCCTACAGCATTGGCTACTGAATTGGTGTTTGTGTCTCACCACACGTCTTACACCCTTGCTATCCTTATATATTCTGTAATCTGTTTTAAATCACCTTAATACCAAACAAAAGTCTTCCAATTCATCATCTGAAATAATCTATTTCATTGGACTCTCATTTAATTTGCTACAATCTCCGTGGACGATAATCCGATACTTGTACCACTTTATTACTTGGAAAGACGATATTGGGCCGTATTGTATATTTGCTTTGTGGCCCAATTTCTTTGTCTAAAGGTGTGCGATATAACCGACCAAGCATGAACGACACTTGAGAATGACGCTAGAACTATTAAAGCGAGAAAAGATTTATGCAAAATACTCAAAGTGTGAATTTTGGATTCGAGAAGTTCAGTTCTTAGGTCATGTAGTTAATGAAAAGGGTATGATGGTAGATCCAAGTAAGATCGAGTGCATAACAAAGTGGAAAACCCCGCAATCAGAAAATAGAGATACGAAGTTTCCTTGGACTGGCCAGTTACTATCGCAAATTTTTCTAAGATTTCTCTAAAGTAGCAATACCTCTTACGATATTAACAAAGAAGGCTAGTAAGTTTGAGTGCGGATCTACTCAAGAGGAAGCTTTTGAGACTTTGAAATGCAAGCTAAGCACCGATTTTAAGCTTGCTAGAAGGAGTTGAGGACTTTGTAGTATATAGTGATGCATCCAAACAGGGTTTGGGATGCGTACTCATGCAAAGAAATAAAGTTATTGCTTTTGCATCAAGACAATTAAAAGACCATGAGGCACATTATTCGACACATGATTTGGAACTGGACGCAGTAGTCTTTGCCCCAAAAATCTGAAGGCATTATTTATATGATATGAGGTGTGTGCTACATACAGATCACAAGAGCCTCAAGTATTTATTTCGCCAAAAAGTGTTAAATATGAGACAAAGTCGTTGGATGGAATTACTAAAAGATTATGATTCGAGGGAAAGCCAACATTGTAGCAGATGCCTTGAGTCGAAAGGAACCAGTTAAACCAATTAAAATTTGGGCATTCAATGAAATAGCCACAACAAGTATAATGGAGCAAATTTGTGAATAACAACAAGAAGCTTTGAAGGAAGGCAACCAGAAGGGGGAAAGAATTACTGGACAAATCAAACTACTGGAAACTGACAATCAGGGAATCAAAAGATTTCAAGAACGAATATGGATCCCGGAAGTCGAAAAATGTAGAGAAATAATCCTTGTTGAAACACAGAAATCTAAGTATTCTATCCATCCTGGAAGCAATAAAATGTACAAAGATTTAAAAGCTTTGTATTGGTGGCCAGGAATGAAAAATTCAGTAACCAATTACATTGGGGTGTCTTACATGTTTAAAAGTTAAAATTGAACACCAAAGACTGTACAGATAATTACAGCCGTTAGGCATCCCTGTTTGGAAGTTGGAGGACATCACTATGGATTTTGTGACAAAACTACCAACAACGTTTAATGGCTCAGATGCCATAGGGGTAATCATTTATCGTTTAACAAAAACAGCACATTTCTTGCCAATGAAGGAGAGATATACATTGACACAATGCAAAAATGTATATAGATGAAATAGTGTCAAGGTATGGAGTACCCCTATCAATTGTCTTTAATCGAAATAATCGTTTTACTTCAAATTTTTGGAGAATCTTCTAGAAGGAATTGGGTTCATAGTTTAGAATGAGTACATCGTAGCATCCTCAAACTGATGGTCAAAGTGAAGGGACTATCCAAACCTTAGAAGACATGTTTCGAGCATGTGCAATCGACTTAAATGGAAATTGGAATAGTCATCTACCTCTTATTGAGTTTCCCTATAATAATAGTTACCATAGTAGTATTCAAGCTGCACCCTTCGAAGTTC